TTGTTATTACCAAATATTTTCACTACCCAAATCTACCAAAAACTGACAAAAATATCAGCTCGCATTGCCCATCATGTCTTTGTCCGCAAGAATTATTGGAACAGTTTGTGATTGGTGGAATTACGATATCAGTCACATCTGTATCAAATTGGGCTGTTTATTTGATGCGCAAAAAATATCGAAATAATTAAATATTGATTTCGTTATTGGGTGACTTTAAGCCCGCTAGCTTTAACTAGAAAGCCGTTTGCTAAATGACATAGGAAAAGTAGAATTGTTTTTGTGTAGAATAATTAATTAAATTTCATTAATTACTATGAATAAACTATCGAACATGTATATCGTACATATTGTTGCGGTAATCTACGCAGACTCCTCACCAATCAAAGGCGTTCGCGGCACATGTTAAAAGTGTAAAATGTTGAGAGACTTTATGGCGCTCCATTTTATTAAGAAAATTAATTGAAAGTCGTTACAAGCACATCAAAATTACGTATTAATAGAAAAAGAGTGTTAAGTAATTAGGCATAAAAGTTCGTCAAATTAGAAAAACATCAGTAACTTGTCTTCATCAACCTCGTTTACAAGCGAGGAATTCCCATCGTCTATCCCTAAGAAAATATAGCGAAAGATGATAAGAGACATGTCGTCATAATAAGTTATTTCAACTGAATCGTGTAAACAGCACAACATGTAATAACATATAATAACTATCAGTTGAGATAACATAAGATATAATAACTAACAGTTGACAAATTATCTTAACTTGAAGATAATGCAACGGCAAATCCGAAACTGATATCTCGCTGTCTGCAAGGCCAAAACACCCTGCGTGTTGAGACCTTCATTTCTCATCGAATTTTCAAACATATTTAATTAACAATTTTGACCGACGGATCGGCCGCGATTTATGCCGCCTAAACTTTCCTGTTTACCTTTTTTTAATACTTTTTCAGTTATCCTGTTGATCAGTAGACAAAAAGACAAACAAACAATCACACAAACAAACGTAGTTGAATATTTGTTGGACTTACTCATTTCCATTGTCATGAAAACTTTGTGCCCCAGTGAGAAAAGAGCCACTGGGTACGACGTAGTTCAGATAACCATCGAAGTTATTCACATAGCCAGACCAAACACAATCACGTGCGCAATTACTCTGGGTGTTACAACATCTAAAGCTGAATCTTCTGTCTTCAGCTTCGTTGCTGTGAGTAGAGTGCACACCTAATTTATTGGAAATAATAAATTCTAATTATTTTACTGAGAACATATATTAAATTGAAGATATGTTGTGGGATTAGATCCAACTAAATTACTCTTCTACTTTTCCAGTTGTTACTGTTGTTGGTATATAGTGGTTAGTTTTACCGTTGTTAGTGTTGATTTTTCTATTGCTGTTAATGCTACTTTTGCTGCTAATGTTGCTCTTACTGTTGTGGTTATAATCGATGTTACTGTTTCTGTCGCTATTGCAAGATGTGGCGCTGTTTATGTCACTGTTGCTGTCACTGTGAATATGGAGCATTGTGTTAGATTTTTAGTTCGGTTATATTTATTTATTCATTTAAAATAACATTGGTTGCATGCCATTAAACGAATTAATGACATGCCAAATCTTAAGATTTGGCATAATCAATTGATTTTTGGCACTTATCAGCATATATTTAATATTCGTTATTGAAACAAAGCCTTTAGCAGCGTTCAAAATTAATTAAAGGTTTGTCGAGGATAGCCTTAACAAACTGATTGTAGCATATAACCTGTAATAACTCCATTTGGACATTGGTATACTACTTTTTGGTCGTAGGAATTCACAAATCCAGACCACTGACATGTGGTTGTGATTTTGGAGTCAGGTCGGCATAAGAAAGTCCACGAACGATCTTCATGAGGGTTGCTATGGACACTGCTCACATGATAGATAGATTGACCTATATGATTGATTAGAAAATAAGCATCAATTATTGATAACTCATCTTGTTACCTATGCTACAGTATATTTACTGCTTCATGGATCCTTCTGGGTCTTCTGGCAATAATAATTCTCCATATGACGGGTGATTCCTGTTCTCTTGTTCTCCCAGCTTCGGTCTTTGGTTATTTACAACTCAATAATTTAGCCCGATTTCGCAAAAGAGTTTGGTAGTGGGAAGTCTGAACTTAATTGGAGGTCAGAACACTGAAGTCAGAAGTGACACTCATAAACGATCGAAAGGAATCAACAAAGAGCTGCAGCAAGCAACTCAATTTGAAAGAGATATCGCCGCCCTGAATATTAAGAGAAATACTTTAAGACTCTTACGAAATCTGTAAGCCTTGTTTAAAATGATTTTTTGTTCTATTGAAACAAATTCGAATGATTGTTGAAATCTATATCATGAAAATCTGCATGTTACAGCGGATAATATCGAAAAATGTGGAAACTAATCTAACCTACTATTTCTCAGAATTATCTTGAAAGTGTAGTAAACTGATGTATTAAATGGTATTAGCTCTAATGCACATTATTTTGCCATTTTACTCTATCTAACGCCAGACGATTTTACTCGTGAAGGGGAGAGCACTGGCGCTCAATGTGTTTATAAACAAAAGAAAATTTTGGAAGTAGGTGAAAATCAGAAAGGCCAAATGCACCATAGCCAGCGAACGGGCTCTTTGATGTTTGCTGGCTAAATGCACCATTTACTTAAAGAATGATGATGACGAAAAATTCAACATAGTCTACAATGAAATTTAAATTTAAATCGGACCGAGCTAGTGTAAATATGCAATAGCAAAATGTTTGTTAACATACCATTAGGACAAGTTTTGGTCCACGTTGCATCAAAGTTTGTTCCAGCATTAATGCACATTACATTAGCAAAAAGAAACAATGCTGCTAACATGACTTGCATCATTGTCGTGTGCTACATAAACAAATTATTAAAATTCGATTAGTCATATTTCTTCCAGTATACAAAATTTAATGCAATCCTCATTCAATTCCTACCTGAAAACAGTAGAAATCGCTTCACCAAACTGGTACAAAAAGGCGGAGATAATTGATCTTCTTCTGTGCAGGCTGACGAGCTGTGGCAATAACTGAATGAAACAGAATTGTCCTGTCACTGCTGTGTGGCATATGCATGTATATATACACACTGATGACCACGCCTACATCACGAGAGATGTGGAACTTTTGTTTACCTTAATTTAAATCATCTTTCGCTTTTCCGGACTTCTACATATCCTCCCTCCTGTAGTACCACTTATACTTAAAATATTTTTAGTAATAATATATTTTCTTCCTTCCCGAGAGGTGGTGAGTTCCTAACTGAGAGGTGATGTCGGAGGGCCCCTCTTTAGATGATATTAATAGTCATGGTTCAGTTTGAGCCTCTGAGCCTTGATAACCTGCATTTCAGAAAAATTGTTCTTCAATCTATACTTTATAACAGTTCAGGAAACATACGTGAACATTTAAAAGTTATAGAAACTTGATTTAACTATCTGTAAAAGTTAAAGTTTTACCCTTCTAGAGTATTTTGTGAATAGGGTTTAATAGTAGATGGAAATTTTGAGTGTGAATTCTATATATTTATTAAATTAACAGACCTATATAATTATGGGCCGTCTGGCAAGAATCATAATGTATATTATGTTTAAAAATATCTTCCTTTTTTTTAACACATGATTCCTTTTCGAACATAATGTCAGTTCATCAATACTCATAGCTAATATCCTCAGTGCCAATATCGTGATGCAAACGGACAAAATTATCTTGAATAACTTCTTGAATCGTGATCTGAATTAGGAACGCTCTTGAATGCAGGAAGATCTCGGAACATAAATGAGTGCTTTCCTTGCATGTTCGTGTTCCGACGCACATCTCTCTTCAGTTCCCCTTATACTAGCTCATAATAACTATAATACATATATAACCCCGCTTATTCTGCGCTGTGTCAAATGTAAAGTTGTTATATATTGAATACTCTTCATTCCCCCGAATACCAACACAAACTTTTTTAAGTTCTTTGTATGTTTGCATGGCGAAAAATATAATAGTTTTGTTTGTGGAAAAACCACGTAAACTTATTACGGCAAAGCTTTCGATCCGTAAGCCCGAGCTTACGGATCGAAAGCTTTGCAGTAATAAATTTACGTGGTGTTTCCACAAACAAAACTATTACAAACTTCTTTATTTCGTATAATGTCATCTTCTGTCTAGTTACCAATTTCCCCTGGTATACACATTGCACAAACAATGCTGTTCACCTCTAGTATATACCACTATTACCTTTTGGGTCTCATTGAAGAACTATTTAGTTGCAGGGTGATTTCAAGGAAAGAGACCCAACCAAGAGCTGGTGAATTTGTATCGGGTTTCAGCCACTGCATGAGCGGCCTTGATAACCTGCATTTTCGAAACCATTAAATTTTTCTATACTTCATTTATAAACGTTCATGATATAAAAGTAAGTTAACTTTGTTTGTTACCATTGGAATGTATCAGGACTGAATTAAGTTTCCCTCCACATTTTTCTTCTATAGGCACATTGACATTTTAAGCTTTGTAATGTACCGAGCCAAACAATATAAGTCTGAGAATGACGCCGGGCTTCTAACGTCAAAGCAACATATTTTGCAGAACGATGTATTGTATATGCAGCGCTTGACAAAGGGTTTTTGGCCTTAATTTAATAAATATATTGATGTAATATATCATTTGATATTAATTCAAACAATCACATGCAGAATTACTAAATTTCACTCACACTGTTTTGTCGTGAAACTCAAGAGTTTGCATGACCCCAATTTCAGTTCTAATCAGTCACGATAAATACGAATTCTTTTTCATAAGATCTTTTTCTCAGAATGGTGTGATATTTCCGCAAGTGCAGTAGGCTTTTAGCGAAATAGCTGTCATGCACATGGAGAGGCAAAGGCAATAATTTTATTCTAAAGATGGAACTATTTGGTTGTTAACGTCATCTTCCGTCTAGTCACCATTTTCTGCAGGTACACATGGCGCAAACAATGTTGTTCAACTCTATAGTACTATCCACTTATTTCATGAAATATTTTATAGTAACAAATTACTCTGTATTACTATTTTATAGTACGTAAGAGTATTATATGGCGCGCTGGTCCGTGTTTACCTGGGGAGGCCATGCAAGCCAGCTTGGAATTTGTCGCCCACTTCCCTCCTTGCAATTTGCATATATACGGGCGAGCGCCATAGATGCGAGATGCGCATGGGAGTCTCGGGCGTGCACTTGGAAAATTATGAAGTCAATAATCACTGAAAAGCCATTTCGTGCGTTTAGACAAAATATTTAGATCAATAAACTGCAAATTAATTGAGATGTAAACGTATTGGTTGTTTGGATATATACCAAATGGGAAGTTGGTGAGCGACTGAATAACAAGTCTGTGTGCGAGAGATATTATTGATTATTAAAATTATGTTGACACAATTTTCTAGAATTCTATGAATAAGAACAAAATTTGATTCGTAAAACAATTTAATTTATAAAAGTACTTTTGATAGTCCGATTGACGTCTTTGGAAACACGTCATTAATGCGCTCTTTGTCCAGACACTGTAGAATATACCCTGCTAAACATCCATCAAAAGTAAGGCATCCAATCGTCCCTGCAACATAGTTAACTGAATTGGAGTTTTCACTCACTTAAGTGCTGAGAGTGAGCGCTCAGCAGTGGCAGAACTGATAGGGATCGCAACCGCAATCGCGTACACTTTACAAAGTCTGGAATATGCATCGATCATGTGGTAATCAGGATGCGACAGGATTGTACATCTGAATGAAGGTACATCTTTGTTCCATCATGATGATTCAGATCATGATGAAGAATCAGACAAAGATACTCCTACAACGATTGATGTAATATATCATTTCATATAAATTCAAACAATCACATGCAGAATTGCCAAATCTCACTCACACTGTTTTGTCGGGAAACTCAAGAGTTTGCATGAGCACAATTTCTGTTCCAATCAGTTACGATAAATAAGAATTATTTTTCTAAAGCTGAGAGGCTAAAAATTTAACATTTTCATTTAAGATTTTTTTCTCAGAATGGTGCGATTTCTCCGCAAGCGCAGTAACCTCTTAGCGAAATAGCGGTCATGCACATGCAAAGGCAAATTAATTAAGGCAATAATTTTATTCTAAAAAGAGGACTATTTGGTTGTTAACGTCATCTTCCGTCTAGTTATACCATTTTCTGCAGGTACACATGGCACAAACAATGAAGTTGTTCAACTCTATATATAGTACCATGCTGACTTATTTCATGAAATATTTTAATTGTAACATATTACTATGTATTATTATTTTATAGTAACGGTATTATAAAGCGTGCTGGTCCGTGTTTACCACGGGAGGCCCAAGCCAGCTTGGAATTTGGCGCCCACTTTCCTCCTTGTAATTTGAATAGGGGCGAGCGTCATAGATGCGAGATGCGCACGGGAGTGTGGGCCTTCCCCGTGTAAAATCTTGAAATCAATAATCACTGAAAAGCCATTTCGTGCGTTTTGTCGAAATATTTAGATCAATAAACTGCAAATTAATTGAGAAGTAAACGTATTGGTTGTTTGGATATATACCAAATGGGAAGTTGGTGAGCGACTGAATAACGAGACTGTGTGCGAGAGATATTATTGATTATTAAAATTAGAATAGGATTTATAATAATTGTCGATGGAAATTGTGAGTGTGAATTCTATACATTTGTTACATTAATAGACCTATATAATTATGGGGCGTCTGGCAAGAATCATAATTTATACTATGTTTAAAATTTCTTCCTTTTTCTTAACATATGATTCCGTTTCAGACAAACTGTCAATTCATCAGTACTCACGCATTAATCCACAGTGCCAATATCGTAATGCAAACGGACAACAATTAACTTCTTCAACCGTGAACGCTCTTGAATGCAGGAAGTTCTCGAAACATAAATGAGTGTTATCTTTGCATGTTCGTGTTCCAACGCCCATTTAATTTCTCTTCAGTTCCCCTTATACTAGCTTATAATAACTAATACATATTAATATATATAACCCCGCTTATACTGATCGGGTCAGTGTATATAATAGCACGTTTGTTTTCAGTGTCAAAAATCATGATTCTCCAAGCTTACCGTTTGCACTACTAGTTTACTAAATATTTTCAGAATGTACTCGTTCAAATTCGATACAAAATTGGGGATAGAGTGAAATCTATGCAGTTCTAAATTTATTTGTGCAGTGCTGAAACCGTAAATGCGCATGCAGTTACGAAACTATGGAAATATAACCGGAACATAATTATGTTTGTACAGAAAATGCAAGAAATGCGGACGTACGTTGAGCATAAAAAATATAAACATTTATGTGGGAGGTCCTCCAGACGCCCTATCTTCTTTACAAAACACTTACGACCTGGGGTAGTAAAACAGCGATGAAGTGGGGCGACCGAAACCCTGCGTAAAAATTATTAGAGCGGGTTAACTGAATATTCTGCGCTGTCTCAAATGTAAAATTGTTATATATTGAATATTCATGATGATTCCCCAGAATACCAAACAGGAACTTTTCGTTTCGTTTTACGTCATCGTCTGTCTAGTTACCAATTTCCCCTGGTATACGCGTTGCACGAACAATGTTGTTCAACTCTAGTATACCACTTATTTAAAATATTTTTAGTAACACAATGTTTGAACAGCTAAATTTACCATACGCAACTATTACCTTCTGGGTCTCATGGAAGAATTATTTAGTTGCAGGTTGACTTCAAGGAAAAGGGACCCAACCAAGAGGTGGTAAATTTGTATCGGGTTTGAGTCTCTGCATGAGCCTTGATAACCTGCATTTTCGAAACCATTAAATTTTCCTTTACTTTATATTTATAAAC